AGGAATCCGTGTTGACCTGGAAGAAGTGAAGATGAACAAGTTAATGGAAGTGGAGATGTATGGGGCGAGTAGCTGTAAGCAAGAGCTCAAGGCAAGGTCCTCAATTCGATTATCATTTGCAAAAGCAATGAAGCTGACTGGATTGTCAGTTTGTTGGTTTTTTACTCTGCTTCTTTTTTCAGCTTTCAAATCTGCCTGTCACATTGTGTCGTTATTTTGGTCACTGTGGTCGCACCCTCACCGTACGTACCACACGCCTGCCCACCAGCATCCAATCTATTTTTGTCAATCATCGACGTACCGCACATTCTTTTTACCTCCATCAACCTACCCCTATGGTTGATGTTTCCGACGATCGACATTTCACCAACCCGTTTGATGCTTGGAACGAACACTTCAAGGTAATGTGATTTCACCTCACTTCCCTTTCGTGTTTGTCCAGGTTGATGATGAGTGGAAAAGATCGTTATCGGAAAAAATTCTGGGTCTGGTAAACAAGCTTAGTGAGGAGGCGTCAAATTTGAGCAGCTCCGACATTTCCATGTACACGGGCTTAGCAGGTGATTTACTATTTACTGCTTTTACTTAACCTGGCCCACTTTTCGAAGCTATTCGAGTTGGTCGTTCTAACTTGTTCTTGTTCGCCTCTCTCAGATGGCCCTCGAAACTTATTAGGCTAGCCCTTCTCTCTCTATGCATGAATGCTTTCGTACTGCTCTGCAACAAGAGCTCTTTGTGATATATCAATTCATCTCTTGTTTGCAGCAAGGCTGCACAGAATGAGGAGTAACACTTGAGTCATTCACGTGGTTCGGTGAATCCACGAAATACACCTAAATTGAATTCACCTCACATTTAAAGTCAAACTGATTTCCCGACTTCCTGAAACCACCCTAGTCGCTGGACACATCCCACTCATCCGGACAAGTGGTAACAATCGTGATCCGTTGGGTAGTAACATTCCTCTATACGTGACATTGTAGCTTCGCGTAGCAGACACTTTCCACTGAATCACTTTTACTAGTTTCTTCTTTCCGCGAACTTGTGGGTTAATAAACTCAGGCAGATAGCTGAGTCAGCGGGGTATTTTGATAAGACAGATTAATAGGTGAATACACGCCTGAACCCATCCGTTTGGTCTCAGCTCGGTGTTGTTCAGTAGCCGTGGCGGGATAAGTTTCAGTCATCCTGAATAGGCCCAGTTGAAAATTTTTGCAATACGATCATTTAATTGAATGGTGGATGACATTTCATCTTTTGCATCAGGGCATTTTCGGCCTGACCAAACGGGTCACAAGGTTGGTCGAGTTCCAAGACAGACGGGGGACCGGTCAACAGAATCCTTTCTCCTAAAGTAGCACAGCTCATTTTAGTAGACGTTCGTTTTACGTTTTTCTTGGCCGGCGGATTGTGATGAAAAATTTCGCGTGAAGTCGACCCGAGGGGTCTTGTTTTCCATATGAACACCACACGGGTGTTTGTTGACAGTTTCGCCGATGTTTGGCTAATTGGGTGCGGGACAGTATGTCCAGCTGACGGGAGTAAATGAATTGGGTAGGTTGGATTTGATTCTTCAGATCCAGGCCCACTGCTGTTTTTGGGCCCATTTTGGCAAACAGTTGCACACGGATTTCTGCCATGCTTGTTGACTTAAGATGTCTGTCCACCTATTCGCCAGCTTTATTCTCTCTATTTAGTTTACACGGGAATGCTTAAAAACATCCGTCACTTCAACGGTCATTCTCCCATGCACCCTTTACAGATGTGTTACCATTCTGTGTCTAGTGTCTGTCCGCTTTTGCTGAGTCTTTTACCAGCGTTCGATGTGCATTGGTGTTGCTCATTAGTATGTCCATCCCATTTAGTGTCAAAACTGCTTTGGTTGCCCTGGAACCTGTAAATTTTTGACCCGTTTGTCGTGCAACTCGAGGTCTTCACGATGACTGAGCTACTGCCGGATTTGTTCCAATCTAGCCGGAGACAACTCAAAGGCCAGAGCCACATTGTGGCTTTCCTAACTACTTTTGAGAAATAGCCTACTGTCCTGTCAGTGCCACAGACGTGGGTTGACCACAGTCGCCCTCGCTCTTCATTTTCGAAACGTGATTTCATCAAGTATGAAGCAACTACCTGGACAGGCAAATTTGCCGACCACTGAGCGGCTTTCAGCGTAGAGTTGCAGGCGAATGGGGCTTGCTCCCAGAATTCTTGGATTAATAAACTCTCGGTCAATGCATACATCCAAGGACAGAATTCCGTTGTTCTTAGCGTGTTCAAGCGTTGGCCACTGTGTTATGAGACGTAGTCAAAATGCTTTTACCCGGACCTGAATACTTCAAAGACTCGAGAGCAATCACTAACCGGGAAGTTCTCTTTTCGACTACCACTCGATTTAGATGTATGTCAGTTCTGTTACTGAGTACGCGCTATGTGTTGCTTTGTGACATATGGGTTTGACTATTGGATACTTTGGTTTTTTTTCTAGTGGTCTTCTGGAGATCACACTTCCATAGACACTGGTTTAGGCTTTCTCCCGATTACGGTCGTTTCGGAAAATGTAGATTCTTACCACGCACGTAATCTTAAGTAAACGCTTTTCGAAGTAATGTACAAAGTGCTATTCGTTTTACATGGATTTATAGACTGAGGGACAGTCGATTCAAACGTACCACGAAGCTTCCTTACCTTGTACTCCAGGAAGTCTACCTAATAACAAATGCTTATCATTTCAGGAATCGGATTGTTCTTCCTCAAATTATCACGAGCTCCAGCGGCGTTTATCGACCACGCCACCAGAGAAGATGCTCGGAATTTCGCCCAAAAGATCACCCGGCGTTGCTTGCGACATTTGGATACGGATCGACTTCACAAAAATATCAGTGTTTTCACTAGTTCGGTCGGTGCACTTTGCCTGGCTGCTATGGACGAGTCCGACCCTGCAGCTGCCGAAAAGTACCTGGAGCAAATCTTGGCTTGTGCTAAGTTCGCCTGCAATCTGAATTCTTCAATGCCTGATGAAGCTTTATACGGTCGATCGGGATATATAAGTGCTCTTCTGACCTTAGGACGGGGAAATCGACAAATACCAGCAGATGTTGTGGCCGGGGTGAGTTGACAAAATATGAACTGATAACCCATTGGAAACACATTTCACTGTGCAATAACACTCGTGACTCGCTTTACTACACTAGGGGGAGAGATGGACCAAGTGGTTAGAGCGCTAATTTACTCACCGGAGGGTCCGTGGTTCGAACCCGACCTCTGCCACTCGACTTCCCCTGTCTAGGCTTGGGCGACCTGGCAGTATCCCAGCCCTCGTGCAACCTTCGGGTGGCATGGCAGCTAGACACCGGAAGGGTGCTAAAGCAGGATGACTTAAAAAAAATTCCACTTCACTTAAATGATTGCTTTAATGATGACTAGGATCATTTAACAGCTCTAGAGGTGATCATTTCATGCTTGTTACACGTAAGGATACAAATTCTATGCTTAACTGTCCTTGGTTAATACCTGTGCTTCATGAAAATCAATTGGTCGATTATTTGTAGCTGAGATAGACTGCCATATTTCATATCTTACGTTGCTCCATCCATTATTCAACACTGTGTATCCGTTAGTTGGGCTGATTCACAGTTTATCCAGCGTGTTTGTGGGATTCATGTATTTTCATGAAATGTCCCGACAGGAATCCCATGATATCCCTGTAGAAATCTTGCATTGCCAAGATGTGAGACAAAAGGTGTCCGAATGTCACGTGTACAGCATTTTATGTCTATACCATCACCCAGAACACTCCGCTGCCTCACTCTTGTATTGATTTTGAGCTCGGACGAGATAGTTGCGCAGGTCAACACCCGAGCTTCATCCCAGTCCGAAAGGCCTTCATGATAACATTTGTCCGGAGAGCCAACTTTTCGCATCGTGATCAGTAGTGCTTGTGTCTTGACTGTTTAGCTATGGACGGCCCAATGGTTAAGTTCCATGGTTCAAATGCAACCCCGGCATCTCAACTGCTCTTGTCTATGCTTAGGCAACCTGTTAGTATCTCACCCCCTGTGCTTTCCTCAGGTAGCATGGCAACTATACACCGAAAGGGTGCTGCAACTTAACGAAGAGAGGAAAGACTGAATTGTGTGGTGGCAGCGATTTGTCCGTTTGTCGAAAGCCTGCACACCTAACGGTACAGTGACGCCAATGTTTGCTGTGTGTTTTCTACTTCTGATCTCATGCTATAGTGTGCGATACGCTATCAAGGCCGCTCATTTTCTTGGTTTTGTTGACTACTGTTCTGACTAGAACATTCCTACTTTCAACATGTCCGTCAGAGAACTTGCTTACGGAATTCATGCTCAATCTGGTTAGAACTTTGCAAGTTTTATGTTAACGTGGAAGTCGTTTATCGAAGTTCGTCCGGAATTCTTAGACGCACATAGCATTTCTCAGTCCACAAAAGATAACATAGAGTTATGTACTGTCCACCAGTGGATGTCATATCGAGAATATACTTCACCGAAGATAACCGAGTTGTCAAGAACATTGTTATTGCGATCTGAAAGCATCGTTTGTTCAGCCTGTGAACATCCCACAGATTGAATTCAGCTCAGGGGCAGTTATCATTTGGATCAACGAAGCGGCATTATTGGTATTTCTCACGTTCATAGCTTACAACGTGATCCTCCGAGGGCTCTGCCAAATCAACTACTGACTATCGAACCCTGAGTAATATATATTGAAATTTTCGGTTGACTGGAGGTTGCGAAAATCGGAAAAAATGGTTCAACTTGACTGTATTTCACGCACGAGACAAAGTATTGACGGTAGAATTAAGACAGTCATCTAGCCCAGACGGGATGAACTGATGCACAAACTCATGCAATCCGAACGTGTCGTTTGAAAAACTGCACACCGGCTGCTTCGTGATACTACCCTAAACACGTTTGTTCGGTTGTAACAACAAAAAGTAAATGGCTGGCGGGTTGCGCACGGTGATTGGCTCCACACTCTTGCCAATCGAAAAGCTGGGTGCATCGACTTACAAGTAGTTTCTCTGTGTCCGTGCCAGCAAATTAATGCGGATTTCGACACACTCGTGCAGCAGAAGGGGACGGAGTTTGGGCGCAGAATCGGCTAGATGTATAACATTCCCATCAACGTCTGGTTTACAAGATTCAAATTACGCATCTCTCGTCGACTTTTATGCGACACAGCCTGTTGATAGAGTCCAGTTTTTCGAACGACAACTTTCGCAATCCTCGTGTTAAGAGGTGGGTTAGTTTCTCAAAAGAGCGCCTCGTACACTTAACAAAGCTATGAGCTTGTTTCGTGGTGAGACACAGTCAGAACACACTTTTCGAAGGTCCTTGAAGCAAATCTTATTCGTATCGTGCATTGGATACCACCAAATAATCGGACGCCTAGCCTCATAGCTCCCTGACAAGGTAACACCCTTCACCTAGGGACATTTCTTCCGGTGGGTGTCGTTAGTCTCAGTGCTGCTGTATTCATTCAATGTTTAATTAATGACTCCAAGTTAACCTTGGATACCTCGTTTGGATGCAGGGGTTCTGAGGGGCCACCTTGCCGTATACCTCCGCATTCAAACCTTTCAAGCCCTTAACTGTCCTCCATCCGATCGTGCGGATCTTGCTGCATTCCTCTGGCCTATTCGATTCATTGCCACAGAAAGCATATCCCAAGAGGTATCGATGTGGGCACACTGTATTATTGGCAAGACCCCCATGCTACTGTCCTGTTTCTCTATTATTCTGTTTCTAATATGTTGACTTTTTTGATCACTACGAGCGGTGATGAGTACACAAGATTCTATCAGCAGTGAGGAGGTAAATGGCATGAAGGTCGTTAAATTTTCTCTATTTTTTCACAGAGATACTTCCTTCAATCATCGAACACCACCAGCGGTAACTTGGCGTCCGTCATCGCCTGTCTTTCACTGTTCACGATCCTCTGATTAGTTGTGTACACGGGTTAAATTACGCCATCTGTTTCGTCAATGTGTTATGCTATGCTCTGATGTTTTGTCGGAATACCTCGGCGCTGCATTGTTTGCCGTTTTCTCAGGTCGTGGATTCAGTTCTTCAGTCTGGTTTGCGAACCGCAAAACGCTATCAGTCCGATGGAATTTATCGGGATTTGATGCGCCATTCCAATCTCGCTATGCCACCGCTAATGTATGAATGGCATGACAAGACCTATCTGGGTGGAGCTCATGGATTCGCCGGTATTTTGCTGACACTCATCAAAGTTAGTTTAACCCTAGTCCACGTTTCTTCGAAGGAGACCGTTTGTCTTTTTATGCTTTTATATGAGCAGGTTTTTTGCTTCATGTTCGTTTCAAGTACAGCAGATGGCTGTTCATCGCTTGTACCATTTTTCTAAATCGAACGATGGTCTTTGTGTCGCTCGGGTTGGTGCAATTAGTCCCACTCGCTGCGTGTACGGAGGCCAGCCGTCCCTAATAACCAAACATCATTTGGACGGATGTGTCACGTGCAGGACACGGACCAAGCGGAGTCATGCTCTGATTGGTCAGGATGCCAGCCAATCCGGATCGGGCATCTTCGACTGGAGGCTTCTCGCCCCATCACGGTGATTGTAGCACGACCTTGTGGAACACTCTGTGATTACCCTATAAATACAGATGTAATGATTCTTCTTTTGCCTCCATAAAGGGCTGTGTAGAGCTACCGTGCCTTTTGATATACCGTAGTGGGTGGAGCAGGAAGCCAAGGGACCGATACAGAGTTGCACTACCGTTCAGCAAGTCACAGCACTACGGCAAGATATCTGAGAAGCCACTAAACTAAACGTCCCCTAACCTGTTCATTGTTGCTGTGTTGATGGTCCCTTTTTGTTCCTTTCAGGTTCACCAGCTCTATCCGAACGCTCTGAGCGACAAGTCAATGCATGAACTCGTTCTACCCACGGTTCACTGGATGGGAGAGCTCCAAATGAGCTCTGGTAATTGGCCATCCAGTTTGGGTCGTAGCATGGGTAATGATGTGTTGGTTCACTGGTGTCATGGTGCCACTGGAGTGGTGCCGCTCATGCTAGCCGCTTATCAAGTAAGTAAACAGCGGTTCTGAGTGCCGCATTCAGCTGTGTGCCTCTTCACTCTTTCTTCAGCGAATACAATCGATTCATTGTTTATCTTTGTGACTGTCAGTGTACTGTATATTTCAGTTCTCTTAATTTCAGTTTTTCAGCTACAAATCATGTGCAATGGTTCCAGCTGCTGTGGTTGCATTTACCAATAGATCAAAAGAATAGCGGTCACGCGTTGAAGGCGAAGGTTCAACCAGTTCATTGTTGTTAAATGGCTCCGTTTATTCGATATGGCAGAGAGCTGGAACTGCGCAACTCAGCCAATGGATTTTCTGTAGACTCACCATTGGTTGTGTGGCGTAGCCACATCTGTGAAGGTCGCTAAACATTGGTGTGTTTCATCCCGGGATCCCCATTCGGGGAGACAGAGTTACCGACTCGACTGAGTCGCCTAGTAAGGACTTCACTGCTTCGTTTCCAAGTCATGGACTAGCCGCCCATGGGTGTTCTCCATCCCAGGAGTGCTCTGCGAGACAAACGTTCCTCTGGCAGTCGAAGCACATAGCCGAACCAGCAAAACACATAGTGTGATCAGTTGGTCTTTCTGAAGAGATTAATCTTTCCCGGCCGGGGGGAGCGAGATGGCTCAAGTGGTTAGAGCGCGAATTTACTGACCAGAAGGTCCGTGGTTCGAACCCGACCCCTGCATCTCGACTTCCCCTGGCGGTATCCCAGCCCTCGTGCATCCTTCGGGTAGCATGGCAGCTAGGCACCGGAAAGATGTTACAGATGAGCGTAATCTTTACCGGAAACTATCTGGCATACGCCAGAATTACTGATCTGGTGTTCCCACCAGGGGCGCCAGTTGTCAAATGAAGAGGATCTTAAAAACTACTCTACACGTAGTGACCACATCTGTGATTCATAATGTAAGGCAGACCGAACCTCGACAGTGTACCCTTGAGAGTCAAACTGATATCACTTCAGCTTCACAAAGGTCGGAGTTTGGCAAAGACTGCTCTTACCTTCCCGCTTCAGTGAATGCTTTCGTCTTTTGCCAGTCCGTCGGGATGACGATGAGTGAAGAGCAACATCGTCAGCGTACTCAGTTTCTGCGAGTAAACACCCGGAAGTATTTCGATCCCTGACAGGTTGGAGTTAGATAAAGACGTCTGAGGAAGCAAGTATATCGCTCCTAAAGCTGAAGAGGAAGCAAGACGGAAGGGACCCTTGCCCTGCACCACTGAATGTGCTGAATTGAGTTTGTTTCCACATCGACAGGAGGAAGCATATAAAAACAAGAATCTAGAGGGGATACGCTTCATTGCCAGACACTTCCACAGTTTATACGACCAACAAAGTTAGAAGTGGGGCAGTTCCATCGCCTGTCGCAAAGCGTAGATATGAAAGATCCAAGACGGTTCAGAGCGAAACTTAACTTTAATCTCATGCATGTGGCTCCCTCGGTGATGGATCAATCCGCATGTGGTAATAACAGAGAGCCTCTTGGACGGCTTCGGCCGATTTTCTTGTGTCGTTTTTTAATGGAACACACCGTCGGTGCGTGCGCACATTACCGTGGTCACCGTCAAGTTGTGTACTTCAAAATGATCGACAGCCTTTTATCGAAGTTCTCAACTGGCAGCGGATTGCCACACGACCCAAATGGGTCCAGAGGGGGCTGGTAGTTGGCGGTCTCCAGGTAACACGATGTGAAAGCTTGTGCTGGCTAGGAACAGATGAAGATCAGCATTTGGCTGAAGAAGTTCGTTTCCTCTATCTGTTGAAAGCTGCAGGGTGAAATAGATTCCTTGAGTACTCCGCTTTTGTATTTACCGTATGGTTGCAACTGAAGAAACTGACTTCCACAGCACCGAAACTCTACCAACATGAGACGGTGCCCCTTCATGGTGGGCCTATTGTGCACTCAGGAATAAGGCGCAGGGATCCTATCCATATTCCCAGAGGTTCGTGTAAGGCTCGTTCAACACATGCTGTACAGCAATTTCACTCATACTGGGAATCGGCCGCAAAATTTCAGTCTGACTCAGTTCATTTAAACAAGTGTACAGCTGAGTTTCACAAGGGACTCAACTGAATCTCTCGTTTATGATGTTCTACAACTGAATGTGCTGCACACAGGCCGCCTCATATTTCAGTTGGCACGATGTTCGAGATGTCACAGTATATTTTCATAAAGGAAATTACTCACAATGTTGACGAAAACTCTCCGACAGCCCACGACCGGCTTCAGCTGGTGAGATTCGGTTGAACCGAAAACCCAGTTGATATGCAAATGAGTGTATTCGTCGGAATTTGTCCAATTTGGATTCAAGTAGGACATGAGGTTGACGGAAACTCGGGGATTGCGCCCAACTGATGAGCCCTAAGAAGGGCGAAACTGGTCGTGGGTTGTCAAAGAGTGTTCAGTAACCTTGTGAGTAGTTTACAACTGTTTTGAACGCATGCTTTTTCAGACAGCAGTCTTCACTATTGCTGTACGCTTTCAGCTCACTGGAGAAAAGGTCTATTTGACGCGCGCCATCCGCGGTGGTGAAGCTATTTGGGCACGTGGGCTTCTGTACAAGGGTTGTGGTTTATGCCACGGCTCTGCTGGCAGTGGATACGCATTGTTGGACCTGCACCGAGTCACGAAGGATCCAAAGTACCTTTATAAGGCAGCCAAAGTGAGTTGGTGATTTCCGATGCATCAGTTTGATCTGACAGATGGTTAGATTGCGAGAAAGATCTGTGGTTCCAACCCGGATGGTGCGTCTAGGCTTGGGCAACCTGACAGTATCCCAGTCTTCGTGCTTTCTTCGGATAGCATGGCAGCTGGGCACCGAAAGGGTTTTTTACGAAGGATTAAGCTGATATTCAGTTAACATCGTGTTAATGAGTGCATACACAGATCTCTCCGTTTATCCTTGCATGTTTGTGGGCTTCTTGTGACTCTGCAGTATCATTGAGTAGGCTAACTAAACTTTAGTTAAACAACCAAGAGCTTGATTGACTTTGTCGGCAACGAAATACTGTGTTCGATGTGATTGATCACCACGTCTAAGCCGTTTCTTTTCAGTTAGCCCTTTTTTTTCTTTCCCAATTTTTATAACCCCTCTAGTTCGCCGAATGGTGCACCGATTGTTTTAAGAACCGAACGAGGGTGGCTGACCGACCCTACTCCCTATTTGAAGGTAAGGATTCGTGGTCATCCAGTGAACAGGTTTCTGACAGTTTCGCCTTGTGAAATCCAAGTCATTTTTAACACATTGGTGCTGAGTTTATGCGGAGTTCATATCAAAGCACAAACAGCAACAGGACGCATATGTTCGATTTCTCTCAGCGTGCATAGACTTCTTTGTGGTGAAATTGACAGGATTAAGCGAAGGTCTCTCAGGTGTGAATGCAATCTTGCTTAGAGATGCCTCTTAGTTTTAAAACCTTAATTTGATGATAGATACTTCAGACGCACCAACTCCCTCATCACTGTGTCTGCCAGTTGTTTTATTATATCCTTTTGATGCTCTTTTTCCACACTCGTTCAGATCACGTGACTGAGTTGCAATGAGTTAACTTATCTAGAATTTGCTGACCCCTTTCTGTTCGTACCGAGAAAGATTGAATTATCTTGGTCCTTCCACTCTGTCTTCTGAACCGTCGATGAGATTAATAATAAGATGTCGTTATGTCAGCTCTTCACCGGAGCATTGACCACCAGTTCTTTCGCTTGTGACTTTTCGCCAACTCCCAATATCTTATTCATGAAACATGGTCTTTCATTTGTAGATGCCTTCCTCTTCTTTCATTTAGATTGCCTTGTAGGCTGCGTTCTTAACTAGTTTATATCCGTCTAACTGTGTCATCATCATCGTCAGCTGTAAGAACCGCGCACTCGTCGTACAGTGGTTGTAGCTTCCGCAGTTTCGTTCACCGATGATTTGGGGGAGGGGGTAGGTAGCTGCGCATTGCACGCGCGAGCTGGTAAATTATCAATCCAGCACTGTCAGTGGGCTGTCAAGTGGATGGGGGTTGGAAAAGGAGTTGTGCATTGAAGGTAATAGCTTTGATGCACGAGCGCCATCGAGGGCGCGACTGGGCCATGTCTGATAATGTCTCTAGCCATTGATGTGGCCCGTCAAATGTTCATCCATTCGATCCAACTTGCTTTGATTGAGTAACTTTTTCCCCTGGCGAATCCGGCTCCAGACTGCTGCCTCGGTTGTCTCTCGGTAAAGTGTTTTTCAAACTGTAGTTTGGTAAAATAAATAAATCCAAGGTTTAGCGGTGTTCTGTTACAGGTCAGTTGATTGCTCCTGTTCCTCTTGCCGTTTTATGTCTTCTCTCATTAGTAACCTATAAACTCTGTTCTTTTCCCCCTTCGTTAGGCCTCGCTGGTACACTTTACTTCCTTGTGGATATTCTGGAGCCATCAGAAGCCCGATTCCCCTTGCTGTCTGCACCGTGATCTGTCTTCGATTTCATTTCTCCATTGGTTGTCATTGCTTTATACAGATTGCAGTAAACTCATCTCTTTTGGTACGGGACTGGAAACACTTGGTGGATGAACCGGCAGCCCATCTGTTTCGAATCTGTTCGGTCCCGAACTTTGTGGATTTTACCATCCAAACTTTTGCTGAAAGACCTAGAGGTACTGTGTTGTCGCTGTATCGTGGTTGAGGTTCGTCACATGCTTATGTGTCAACTCGCATCCTCGTATATAAATGATCTTTCCAAAAGAGTAATTTCTTTTCAGCTGGTCTCTCTTTAGGGTTAGAGCTGAATGACCGAAAGTTTAGCCTGGGTAGTATATGAGAGATGTTCTTATATGTCATGCTATGGATAATAGGTGGGCTTGTAAACGTGGTATATTTAAATTGAATGAAATATACCATCCAATTGAACGAGGGTGGTATTCGCGATCACCGTTATTCGTGGGTAATGATGGCTGACTGCCCCCTCCCCCAAAAACGATATTCAGACCTTTGTCCGCTCCTAAGCGATGGATTTACTTCAGTCAATAATGTAGGAATGACGCAGTGAAGACGACAGCCCCTGGATCACTTGGTCCTTTCAGGGCGTGAGTTAGTGGGGCCCAGCTGAGCTGTTCCTCAAAGTTTTCAGCCCATCATTCAAGAATGGATTGAGGTCCCGTACTTTTCATGGATAGTTTCACTAACACTGATGCTCTTCGCATTGGTTGATCGGATCAGCTGGGACAAGCGATTGTTTCTGGTTACAAAGATTGTCTTCAGTTCACTTCAACCTCCAGGAATCGAAGAATTATCCAGCCTCGAGGCGCTGCCCCAAAAAACTATCGCCACATAGTTAAGTAGCGAAATTAGTCGAAAACCGAAAATTGTGCCTAGAATACACGAGTCCCAGCTGATACGACACAGCTTCGTTATAAGGGGCTTATCATTTGAAGCCATACTAGGGCTACCATCAACAGCCACAGAACGGCATTTTTTGGGACCTGTCCTGCTGTCTGTGTTTGTGCGAAATCATAGTGGGCGACTAACCGAATGAACCGTGCTCCGTCTATCACTTGAAATCTCTTTACCTTTGTGCAGCTAAGAGGGTCTGCATGACAGATATCAGTGGGTTAACAAGAACCCCTTCACCATGTACTTGTTGCATTCAAACCCATTTGAAGTATTCGAATCCGTACAATGACTTTTCGGTTGCACTATTCATTCTACTCAATGCAGAAAAGCCCTCAAGTATTCCATCAGAATAATTTTGATACACAAGGTTTGAAGCATGTCCAAAACGAACAGCCTCATCGTTTTTGTGTTAACGAAGACAAGACGTGCTATACTGTTTATCTATTTAGACATTTTCTAGGTTAGACTAATTCACGTGCTTGAAGACTATTGTTGCACTACACTTGGAACTACTAAAATAATTGTTAGTAGTTTGGAGATATTTAGGAACCTTACTGAAGATTCTCTCGTTGGTGAAGCCAATTTATACCGAAAAAGCAGGGAATCACTGTACTGTATCAGTAACGGTGCACATCCAACGAAACTCGTTCTCGAACCCGCGACCTTCCGGCTGGTGATTGCACCCTCAACCGTTCGTTCACGGGCGGCTGATCAGCAGTATGATTAGTTAGCAATAAGGATACGCCACCTTCCATCCTTCAGTCGCAAATACCATATCACATGATCGCGCATTGACTGGCTTCTCAAGTAAGTACTTCTCAGACAAGTGAATCTTCCTCTTCCTCTGAAATTCACTCAGAGATAAGATTTACCCGACGAGTGGAACTTCGATCTGAGAAATGGTGGTCTCCGTGAATGAAGGATGAGCGGCGCTATATCCCGTTTAGGTGAGGCTAATCATACAGGTGTTCGGCCGCTCTTGAAACAATGGTTTAGTGGTCACCCGCTGACATGAAGGTCGCGGGTTCGAAACTCACTGAGTTCCGAGAGATGCGCACTGTTTGTTGACTCCAACAACGACAAACAGCTGTACAGTGCTTCTCGGCTACTCCGAGTCAATTAACCAGCTGACTTCACGTCACCATTGGTCACCTGACCTCTGTGAACAAGACCGAAGCCAGATCTGTGAAGAAGAACACTTGTAAACGGTTCGGTTACTACTGGCCATTACACTAACTAACCAGCATGCTAACTTGGGACATATCAACAACTGATCAGCTTAGACGGACCGGGTTGCACTTCACAACTCAATAGCCGTTCGGAACGCGATCAGTCCTGCTTGCTAATCCTTAGCAGTATGAATGAAGCGTTTTGCTGTCTTGTGTTGTGCATCTGGACACGTATTCGCATGACAGCCACAAGATTATGAAAACTTACAAGAAGGATAGCCAAATTCATATGTTTTGGTGTTGTGTGTAAGGTGTACGATGGGAGCAACTATGAGGCCAGAAAATATGCATTCTTTCGTCGATATATCTCACAAAAGGTTAACTTTTTCTCGCCATCTGACTAACGTGCATGCCCGATTGACTGACACACTGCCCTGTTGAGAAAACACCTGTAACAATTGAGGAACACATTGATTATATATATATATATATATATATATATATATATATATATCGCTCGGTTGGCTTCGTTTCGTAGCACTTTTTTAATGCAATCCTTGAATCACGTTTGGATGGTTGGTCAAACGGAGAAGTGACAAGTCCTATTTACCTAGTGGAGAAACAAGAANTATTCTGATACTGTTTCCTCAGTGAGGGCGTGAAAATATGCCCTAAAAAGGCAAACGTAACAATTCATAAAAAGTCGCTGTTGACGGTAGGTTTTCATGCTTCAACTATCGGATGGCGGTATCGCCGCGGAAACTGAAACCGTTGTTTTCCGGAGGGATGGACTTTTCTGGGAAGACAGCCAGACAGAGATTGCTTTGACGTGATTTTAGAATGGAGATCGAAGCAAGCCGAAATCTCCAGTCGTAGATTTAAGTAAAAACCCTAGTTACCGAGTAAAAAAAGGCACTTTTTCGCTGAGTCAAACAATGAAAAAAAACAGAGTTGCGAAAAACATTGGAATATCGTTTCCACCATTTTGGTACATGCTGTACGCATATGTTGGGTTGAAGTATAGAAAGGGTATCCTGGGAAAACTCATGGCTATACGAAACCACAAGTTTCAAGGGTTAACAGATACGGGTCGTTCCTAACTTAGAGTCTCTGTTTGGGAATAAGTTTCCTAATTTGCTTTGTCCTCAGATTATGAGGGCGTTTATCAGCGGAATCCAAGCCCTAGTCTCGTTCGGTGGCTATCCACGAAGACAATGGTGGGATGACAGTGTATTAACGATTCCGCATCACGCTCCCGATATTCTCACTAGATTTGTTTGGTACTGGGCTGATAACGTCATCAGGTCTCTGAAAATATCGGTCTAAGTCTACAAAACAGCCTGATAAGAAACCGGTTCTTGGTGAGATGGCTCACTGGTAAGAGCTTGAATTTACTGACCGGAAGGTCCATGGTTCGAACCCGACCTCTGCTACTCGACTTCTGTTGTCTAGGCTTGGGAAACCTGGCAGTATTCCAGCCCTCGTGCACCTGTCGGGTGGCATGGCAGCTAGGCACCGAAAGGGTGTTACAGCTGAACGATTTTTTTCTGGAAAAAGGCTTTGTCTTGCCCTACGTTACCGTAATTTACACCGCTGCTCGGGTATATAAGCCTATACACCAACCCGACCGACTGACATGAAAGCTTGCTACTTCTGTTTGATCGTAACCAGTCTTGCAATAGCAAACGCCCATTCGTTGGATAGTACAGGAAGCACTCACAAGTACGACAAGCCTGAAATGTGATAGAACGACCAAATACCCAGCTACATTTCTGGACCTTCAGGTCGAGTACAACTTACCTTGGGACGATATTTCTGCTACCCGGGCTCAATCTTGTAACTGTTAGCAATGACAATTAGAAATCCGACAGGCATTCCAAACGCGCGTAGGGATTTTATCACCGTTAACCGTGCTGAAAAATTCAGTTTCGATCGTGAGCTGTGGGGATTGTAGTTGTTTCTTCGTCCAGCAGCACCAGGTCATCCCGTCCTTTGGTATGCGCTTTGCACCTACAAAGTGTAAGCTCATGCTTGTCGATGACATCGACAAGGTTTTCCGAAGGAAAGTGATACTTGAAAAGCTGTGGGGTAGTTGTTTCTTCGTCCAGCAGCACCAGGTCATCCCGTCCTTTGGTATGTACTTTGCACCTACAAAGTGTGAGCTCATGCATGCTGACGTGCAGTCACTGAACACGCCACTTACAATCCAGGGTGGGGTACTGGATGTTGTGGAGTGTGTTACGTATCTTGGAAGTCGTATTAGTGCTGATTATTGTGTGACAGATGAGGTGAACGCACCAATCTGCAAGGCTCGGGCCGCGTTTGCTAGTTTGAGACACCTATGGCGTCAGGATGGTTTATCTCTGAGTCTGAAGGGACGTGTGTATCAAGCTATAGTCCGGGCTGTTTTGTTGTAAGCATGTCAGACGGCCTATTCGAGCAGCGGAACTGAGACGTCTTCAGGTGTTCGATAATCGTTGTCTCAGAACTATAGCTCGCATGGGTTGGCGTCAGCGAACCTGTAACGAGGCAGTTAGAAAGCGCGTTTTCGGTTGGTTGAAGAATGTGTCGAGCACCAGAAGCTGCGTTGGTTTGGACATGTGTTGCGTATGCCGAACCATCGTTTGCCGGAGAGAGCGCTGTTTTCCATGCCCAATTCAGAGTGATGTAAACAGAGAGGTGGCCAACTCTTGACTTGGCGGAGGAGTATGAAGGAGATCACGAAACGCTTGTGTGCTGTCGGTGCTACTCGCCTTCAAGGATGGGGACCGCGTG